TTGCATGCCGCTTGTCGTTAGCGGTCGCAATTGTAAACAAGCTGTTAAGAAGATTGAACTTAGCAAAACAAGAAAATGAGCACGTGCATACATGTAAATATGTATTATATTTGTTTGTATGTAATACACAAAATGATAAATGAGAGAATGAGAAGAGAACGCTCATATTTTAATTGCATTTAAAGTTTTTTGTTACAAATTTATTAAATTAATAAAATATTTTTTGAATTACAAGACAAATAATAGGATAAATTTACTCACACTTTAAATAAAAATATATTTTAAATTATTCTGTTGTTGTTTTCTTAAATAAACAATAAAAATTCACAGTCAAAGCCAATTTTCACTTTTGATCACACAAAACGAACATTTTGTTAAAGACTGTTTTTAATTATACTTTTGCAGCCAAAACAATTTGAAATTATTAAATTATGGTTGTTTTCAATTGAAATTTGTTATTTGCGTTTTGTTTTTATTACGTTTTCAATAGCTTTCAAGAAAACTAACATCAACAATAATTTCTCACTTCATCACGTTGGTTTTAAAAACAAAAAAATACTTTTTTTGTAAAAATTATGTTTATTTCTAGGTTTTTAATACTTTATTATTTATTTTGTTATAAAGTAATTTTTATTATAATTCATTTATCATCAATAGAAATATGAAAAGGCGTTTGTTCTTTTTTTTTTCAATTAAAATACAGCCACCAAGTTGTCAAAGAAAATATTTCACAAAAAAAAAACGATTATCCACGTTTTAATTCCACTTTGTATCAATGAAACCCGTGTGTCTGTTATTTACTACTTTTTTCTTTCTTTCTTTAATTTTATATTTTCCTTTCCACTCACATCAACCGTTAACTGTCAATTACATACGCTTATGCCTTACGGTAGAAAGAGATAACACGTTTTAATTTTTTTCAGCTGCAGGCAAGCAAAACACCGACAATGCAATTTTTTTCTTCTGAATCCAATTTTTTTTCTTGGTTTTTCTGTCGCACTATGAAAAATTTAAATTTTTCTTTGTTTTCTGATATTTTCTTTTATATTTTATATCACTTTCGAGCTTAACTTTTAGCAAAGTTAAAGATTTACACATCAATTAGCTTTTTTAATTGCAAAAATTACGAAAATTGAATTAATTAAATGATACGTCTGCGATGCGACGTTAGCCACGAGAAATAATGCAAGTGTTGCCAATGTGTTAAAGATAAATGTGTGAAGATGCCATCAGAGATGTTACCATATGTATTGAAATTAGTGTGGTTCATATTGTTTGATTATTGTAGAAACTACAATGGAGATAAGTAAATAAAATCTACCTTCATTAGCAAAAGTGTAATATTTGGAGTAGGCTTTGTAGAGAAGTCGAAGTCAACTTTTTGTCCGAACAAAATGGAAATGTCGCCAATGTATTGAAAATGTCGAATAATCGATGAAGGACGAAATTTAGTAATTAAATATGTAAGTAAGTAAGTAAGTAAGTAAGTAAGTAAGTAAGTAAGTAAGTAAGTAAGTAAGTAAGTAAGTAAGTAAGTAAGTATAAGTAGTGTAAGTAGTAAGTAGTAAGTAAGTAAGTAAGTACGTAAGTCAGTCCGTCCGTCCGTCCGTCCGTCAGTCCGTCCGTCCGTCCGTCGTCCGTCGTCCGTCGTAGTCCGTCCGTCCGTCCGTCCGTCACCGTCCGTCCGTCCGTCCTTCCGTCCGTCCGTCCGTCCGTCCGTCCGTCCGTCTCCGTCCGTCCGTCGTCCGTCCGTCGTCGTCCGTCCGTCCGTCCGTCCGTCCGTCCGTCCGTCCGTCCGTCCGTCCGTCGTCCGTCCGTCCGTCCGTCCGTCCGTCCGTCCGTCCGTCCGTCCGTCCGTCCGTCCGTCCGTCCGTCCTCCGTCCGTCCGTCCGTCCGTCCGTCCGTCCGTCCGTCCGTCCGTCCGTCCGTCCGTCCGTCCGTCCGTCCGTCCGTCCGTCCGTCCGTCCGTCCGTCCGTCGTCCGTCCGTCCGTCCGTCCGTCCGTCCCGTCCGTCCGTCCGTCCGTCCGTCCGTCCTCCGTCCGTCCGTCCGTCCGTCCGTCCGTCCGTCCGTCCGTCGTCCGTCCGTCCGTCCGTCCGTCCGTCCGTCCGTCCGTCCGTCCTCCGTCCGTCCGTCGTCCGTCCGTCCGTCCGTCCGTCCGTCCGTCCGTCCGTCCGTCGTCCGTCCGTCCGTCCGTCCGTCCGTCCGTCCGTCCGTCCGTCCGTCCGTCCGTCCGTCCGTCCGTCCGTCCGTCCGTCCGTCCGTCCGTCCGTCCGTCCGTCCGTCCGTCCGTCCGTCCGTCCGTCCGTCCGTCCGTCCGTCCTCCGTCCGTCCGTCCGTCCGTCCGTCGTCGTCCGTCCGTCCGTCCGTCCGTCCGTCGTCCGTCCGTCCGTCCGTCCGTCCGTCCGTCCGTCGTCCGTCCGTCCGTCCGTCCGTCCGTCCCGTCCGTCGTCTCGTCCTTCCGTCGGTCTTTGCAGAGTAAGTAAGGTAATTCGAGAGTAATTAAGTAAGGTAATTCGAGAGTAAGTAAGTAAGGTAATTCGAGAGTAAGTAAGTAAGGTAATTCGAGAGTAAGTAAGGTAATTCGAAAATAAGTAAGTAAGGTAATTCGAAAGTAAGTAAGTAAGGTAATTCGAGAGTAAGTAAGTGAGTAAGGTAATTCTAAAGTTGGAATTTTTATTTCCAAACAGAAAATAAATTCCCGATTTACCCCTTAAATATTAATTTAGACTCGAAAATCCGAAATTTGTTACAAACATTCGAAATGTTCGAAAATAAATTAAATTTTTAAAATAACCTCTAAATACCTATATATGGATTAAGGATTTTTTGAAGTTGCGTTTTCAAATAAATTATCACAACTTTGAAATAACCTCCAGATCGAGTTTTATTTTTAGAAAATTAAAAATTTTTTGTCTTTTAAGTAATCATTTAATTATGAGGATTCATAAAAACATGAGTTGTTCGAACTTTGCCAAAAAAAATTAAATTTTTTCAAATAATTAATAATTTTAAATTAAATTAAAAAATCCTTTTAACATAGACGTTTTTGAGGTTTTTTTAAAAAATATTAGAAACTTCCAACTTATGTTTGGATTTTTTTTTTTGGAAACCTCCAACTTATGTTTGTAATTGTTTTAAAGTTTTTAAACTTGTTTATAAAACCTATACTGCCGATGAAAACTTGTACGCAAATAATCATTTAGTAATTTTTAAATAATTTTGTTATATTTTGTTTTTATTAATAATATATGGTTTACATATTTAATTTTTAATATTAGTTTTTGTTGTTGTTGTATCTTTTTCAATATTCTCTCACATTAAATAAATTAATTTTATATTATAACAAAACTACATTAAAAAGAACGAAACAAAATAATAATTTTAAAGAAAAAAAAAACTAATAAAGTGAGAAAAATGTCTAAACTTTTATACATTATCCATAGGATCTCGCGTATATTACCATTTTTCTAGTGTTAGTCAGTTAAAGAGGCCATTTTGCAGATCATTTTCAAAAGAAAAGTAATTTCCCTGCAAAACTAGTTACAAAATAACCTCCGGAAACTGTTACACATAGTGAATAATAAAGCCTACATCGAGACAGTCACTCTTATTGGTGACAGCTTTCTTCGGTGTTTCCAATATTTCTGTTTTAATGCTGTGCTACAATGTTTTGTTTGATATTGGAAAATGTTATTAAAAATTAACATTTCTTTTACAAAGTAATTAAAAAAAGAACAACTTTTGTAATTATAAATACATATAAATATGTAAGTAATAATGTTAATTTTTACATACATTGAAAGTGAGTCCCTAAACGCTTAAAGTGTTACAAACTTTTCTAAACTAATTTGTTTTCTTCGTTTTTCTCTTGTCTTAAAGCGTTGCAAATTTAGTGAGTTTTTTTTTCTTGAATTCAAATACAAATAAAATACATTTTGTTTAGTTTTTTTTTTTATTTTTTTTAATTACATTTTTTTGTTTTTAGTTTGCATTTAAATATAATTAACAGTTACATTAATTTTTTTATTTGTTTTTATAAGTAAAGAGTTTTTTTGTTTTCATTAAATTTTTTTTTGTAAAAAAATTTTTTAATTGTGTTTGAATTTAATAATATTTTGTAAAACAAATTTGTTTCTTTTTTGTTTGTTGGTTTTTTCCCTTTAGCTATTTATGATGATGATGTTGTTGTTGTTTGTATATAATTATTATATTGAAAATCAAATTGTCTAATAAAAAAAACATAAATTCCCTTAAAAAAGGAATTCTTTTAAAAATTTTAAAAGTGTGTGTTGTTTTTAAGCCAAACAAAGGACAAAGCAATCGTTATGTCTGCAGAGGAGTAGTTTGAGTGGTTAATTTGGTTGTTGGCTGCTACACTATTGCTGTTTGTTGATGATGTTGTGAAGTTTAACGACTTGATATTAAGAATGTTTTAGTAACACGTTTGGTTGTTGTAATACACCTGTTGTTGTGGCTATTATATTTTATTGTAAAAAGAATTTATTTAGTTTGTTGTTGTTTTGAATCTCTTGTTATTTTGTAGTTTATTTTTTTTTACTTTTTATAAAATTAAACTAAAATACTACAAACGTCCTTATTTATTTGAGGTTGTATTTTCTTTTGCCTTTTTTTAACCTGCTGCTTCTTTATATTCTTCTTTAGTTTTTTTAATAATAAACAAATGTTACTATAAATGTTGTTGTTGTAGTTCTTATTATACGTTTTTGTTTGTTGTTGTTGTTGTCGTAGTAGTAGTAATGAGGAGGTTTAAAAACCGTGAACTTTTAATTGATCAGGCTTGGCTAAACCAGCCTTTGTCAACCATTGGCAAATGTTTTCACGTTGATCTCCCTGGAGTTGCAAAACTTCTCCGTATTCGGGATGTTCAATTACTGTGCCATTGCATGCAAATTCCTACGACAAAAAACCAGATTAATAATTATTTTTTCTTTTTTCTTTCATGTCATTGATGAAATTCTTACCTTTTTACATGATCGCACAAT